CCCCCCCCGCCCTCCCCTCTCCCTGCCGCAGAGAAGGAAAAACGTGCGGAGATAGACAAACAACTCAGAAGAAGAAAAAAAAAGGACAATGTACAGGCAGCGACAGACGATTGTATTTGTCATCGACCGGAGAGTCCTCACTGCGTCAGCGAGAAACCGCCGCCGACAAACTGCCGCTGATGCGGTGGCTTCTGCAGCGGAAATGCCGGCTGCGGCGGACCAGCCGTGATGGTGTGCAACGCGCCGCTTTCCTGCGAAGCCCAACCACGCCGACGCAGCGAGGTGGACCGGCTGCCACTGTCGTTGATGTTGGTGCCGCTATTACCTGGGTGACGCACGGTAGGGGCGGCGCTGACGTCGGCAGACGCAGTCGGTCGATCAGCCGCCAGGGCTGATGAGGAGGGCAACGTGTTGGTGGTCGGGCGAAGGTCTAAGCCGTCTGCACTTCGCGCCGACTGCGCAAGCACGTTGCTGTTATTCGGGTTCTGGGGTTCGCGCTGACTTGCTGGAGGCGGGTGATGATGGCGGTGGCGACGCGCTGGCTCGCCTCCCCACGTCTGCGCGCGCACGCGCGCCTCCTTCCGCAGCACGTCATTCTTCGCCTTCTCCTGATAAAAGCGGTGTTTCGTGTCCTGCAGCTCCTCCTGCAGCTGCTCCACCTGCCCCTCCAGCAGCTGCGCCTCCTCCTCGGCCTTCGACAGCGACTGTGTCATGTCCGTCACCTGCGCCTTGCGCTGTTGCAAGTTCTCCGCACACAAGGCGAGCTCCTCCGCGGCCTCGGGGCCTGGCAGACGCGCCAGCTGCTGACGCAGCCGCTTGTATTCCTGCTCCGCCGCCTCGACCTCGCCTGTCTTGGCCTGCAATTCATCTCGTTTGCGCGTCAGCTTCGTCTGGAGCAGTTGCACCTTCACCAACCCGTCCAGCACCTCCGGCGCGTTGCCTTCCAGATCGCGCCAGGCGTGCATGTTGTGCTTCGTGCCGAGCTCGTCGGCGAGGACCCGCACACGTGCCCGCGACTGCGTCAGCAACTTCTCCTGCGCGAGCTCCTTCTTATGAAGTCGATCGAGGTAGCGCAGGCGGACCAGCGCGAGTCGACAGCGCAGCCGCTGTTCAGCCAGTCCGTCGCGGGTGCGGTTCAGGTGTTGCATGACGTGGCAGTACCGTGTCGCGCCAAGCGCGCGTGCGGCGTCGGTTAGCTGCAGCTTCTCCCGCATCACGTCCAGCTCCTCGGTGCGCCGCAGCATCTGCGTCGCCAAGGTGTTGCGCTCGCGGGTCATGACCGTGAGCCGCGCCGCCTGCTGCTGCGCCTCCTGATCGCAATTCGCGATGACCTGACGCAGTTGCAGCGCCTCGTTGCGCAGCGCGTCGACGCGACTCTCGGCGTGCTGGCGGTCCTCGCGCAGAAAGCGCAGGCGCTGCTCCGTGTTCACCAGATCCTTCGACAGCTGCCGCGTCAGCCCGTGCAGCTGACAGAGCTCCGCCTCTTGCTGGATTAAGTCCGTCTTGACGCTTTCAAGCTCCTCGTGCTTCGACCCGTGCCGCTGCTGCAGCTGTCGCAACTCGTCCTCCGTCTCGCGCAGCGTCTTTTCAGTGCGGTGGCGATCGGCAGTGACGGCGTTCAGCAACTCCTGCTGCGCCTTCAGCTTCTTCTGATGGCGGCCGATGTCCTCGTCTACGACTTTCGCTTCGTTGCGGCGCAGACGGATGGCGTCCAGCGTGCGGTGGTAGTCGAGCAAGGCCGACTGCGCGGCCTTCATGTCCTTCTCTCGGTGCTGCTCCGTGTAGTAGATGGATTTGCGCAAAGCTTCGTTCTCGGTGCGCAGCTGCTCTACTTGCTGCTCCAATCGCCGGCGGGTGCCGACCTCCATCACCCGCTTGCCCTCGATCTGCGTCCGGGTCGTGACCTCCGCCGCATTGGCGGCGAGGATGCGCGTCTTGCGCTGCATGGCCTTCGCCACCGCCTCCTCCAACACGCGCATTTCCTTTTCCTCTTGGGCGAGTTGGGCGACGGCGGCTTCCACGGCGGCGCTGTGCTGCTGCACCGCCTCCATCGCCGCCGTGCGCTTGCCGACGAGCGCCGTTAACTCCGCCTGCTGCGCGCGGGCGGACTTCTCTATCCGAGCGAGCTTCTTCTTCTCCCGCTTCAGCTCTTCCTCGTGCTCGCGCAGCACGGCCTGTCGTTGCGGGATGTCGTTCGACAGCATCGTGTTCTCCCGCTCCGCCACAGCCAGGCGCGCCGCCTCCGCGGCGAAGCGCTCCTGCTTCTCCTGCACCTGCCGGGTCAGGGTCTGCACCTCCTGCGCCACGGCTTCGGCCTCCTTGCCAGTCTTCTTCTCATCGCGCGTGACGCGCTCGACGAGGTTGTTGTGCTCCTCCAGCTGCCGCACACACAGCTCCGTCGTCTCGCGGTACTGCCGCACGTTCGCCTCCTTACCCGCCCGCTCGCGCTGCTCGGTTTCGAGGTTCGTCAGCAGCTGCTGATAAGCGCGTCGCTGCGTCTCCAGCTCCCGCGCCCCGCCTTCGAAGGTGCTATTCGCGTCTTTCAAGAGCGCGGTGGCTTGCTGGTGCTCCGCTGCCGTGCGGTACAGCGCCGCGTTGAGGGTGATGGCCTCCTCCTCTCGGTCCTTCTTTATCGCGAGGAGGTCGCGCAGGTAGGCTTCCTGTCCCATCGACAGGCCCGCGGTCTTCTCCACAAGGGCGTCCAGCTCCGTCACTTGCTGCCGCAGTGCCGTGACCAGCTCGCGGCTGCGCTGCTCCTGCTCATGCGCGGCGTCGGCCTTCGCCCACGCCGTCTCAATCTCCGTCCGCAGCACCTGAATCGCCTCCTCGTCCTCCTGCGAGAGCTGCATGGCAGTTTGAATCTTCTGCTGGTGCGTGTCGAGCTCCTCGCGCAGCTCGCGTGCCTGCCGCAGCAGCCGTTGCTCGCCATCGTGACTGCTGAGAAGAAGGCGGTGGAGCTTCTCATACTCGTTACGGAAGGGCTCCAGCTGCGGCTCGGCAGATAGGGCGCGGAGCACCTCCACGTAGCGCTGCTCGATTGCCTCCAAGGCGACAGCGGAGAGGCTGCCGAGCGTGTCGGCGGTGGACGTTGCGCTCCTTTTCTGTGTTGCTGCTGCTGCGGCGGTGACGATAGCCGGTGTGGATGGCGGAGATGGTGAGGCGTTGCGGGAGCTCGAAGCAGGCGGCGGGTGGCGCTCGTCGCTGGTGCCCGCGCTGTGGCTTGTCCCTGCCTCGCTGCCGCTCATTTTTTCTTCTCTTTCAGAATATATTTTGTGGAACTAAAAAACGAGCAGAGCAGTGAAGGTGCACGCGCAGGACGAGTGGGCTGGAGGGTGTATGAAGCGGAGACGCAAAAAAAAAGAAAGAAAAGATTTGAAAGAAGCCCCGCAAACGGCTATCAACACCGGCGCAGAGGAGCAACCACGAGTGCAACCAGAATAATACCAATACCAATAATTATAAATACATATGAAGGAGGAAGAAAACGGGGGAAAAATAAAGCCCCAAAAGGTACGAGCGACGTCCCTTCTTCTTCTTCCTTTTCCCTTTCCTTTCCGTCTGTGGCTCTTTGCCTCACAATGGTGTTGCGTTGCCGATGAGAAGAGAGGGCAGTGAGAAGAGCAGTTGGGATCGGCCGCGAGAGAATGAGGAGCCTCAACTGCTGCTTTCATTTACTTGGCAGAAAGTAACTGCTTTCAGGGAGGTGTGCTGCCGTTGGCCCCCCTCCCCCTTCCCCCTGTTGTTTATGCGCTGCGAGTGTGCTCGTGATCCCCTACCCGAAAGCTGCATGCACCGCCAACGTGAAGGGCTGCAGTAACGGCAATGCCGTATTACTACTATTACTACAATAATTGTTATACCTTTTGATTGAAAGACAGACACAAAAAAAACTCCTCCTACGGATTCCTTCACAGCTGTTACGGCGACAACGAACAGAATCTGATCCGCTGCTCTTTCGATATGGTGTTTTATTTCCTTATACATATATATATGTATACACACACACGGGCTTTCCTTTGCCGAGGAGGAAAGCAGAAGAAAAAGAAAAGGGGATCTGCTCATCAACACGAACACGCATCCACGCGGAAAGATACCAAACAAAACAAAAAATCAGTAAGCAAGCAAGCAACAACACCGCAGGAGTGCTATATTATATTAGCTCCGTGTGCGCAGCACAGCTCAAAGAGGAGGTAAAGATGATCCACGCTATATAAGTGCATATGCATGTATGCGTGTGTGTGCGTGTGCGTGTGTGAGTGTTGATTGCCCGGTAGCTCGGCACGCACGTCGCGCCCCGCCAAACACCATCAGCAACAACACGAAACACTAGGAGCAAGGAAAAGCGGCGAGACACCCTGCGATGGCTCCAACACACACACACACACACACACGCATACAAGTCTCTGCTCGATTCAAACGAGTAGAACGAATGGTAAGAGTAACCGTCATCACAGCGGCAAAACAACAACAACAACAACCAACGGGAGAGTCGTGTGAGAACGACGAAGAAAACATCAAAGAAAGGGCAAAAATAGAATTTATAAGTAGATAGGAATACGTAATTATCGGGAGACACAACGGCGGGAAGAGGGAGGTATATTACAGGGGACAGCAAAACACACGAAGAATGGATTGAAATCAACGAGAGGAAAGTAAAAGAAAAGAAAAATATATAGTATGATACTAAAGAAAGGAGAATGAACCACAGACAATATATATAGGAGTTCACTCAATACGAGGCGCCTTCTCGAGAAGCGTCCGCATGCGTTTTCGGTGAGGCAGAGGGCTGCCCAGTTGGCGCGTTCGCGCTAGACGACCGCTGCGGCTTGCGCAGTTGCTGATGCTGTGGTGATGACCGCCGCTGCGCGTGCTTCATCGACGACGAGGAGAGCACCGACACAGGCGTGGCCGCATCGAAGAGGAAACTCGGTGTATGCGGCGCCGGCGGAGGAGGCGCGTGGTGCTGCACCGACCGGCTGCCACTCCCTGCACTCGATTCTTCGTGCTGGGTGCCGTTGTGGAGGGGTGAGGGGGAGGCATTGGCGAGGTGTGCCGAGCAACTGCGGTTTTCGCCGGGATCCGCGGCGTGCAGCTGTGGTGATGGACGAGAAGGCGACTGCGTGTGCTGCAACGCTTCTGCTGTGTTTTTCGCGACGTCGAATGCGGCCTCTGCTGCGGGGCTCGCCCGCTCGTCGGCGTCGTGCTTCTCGGTGTGCGCACCGTCGCTTGCAAACGTCAGTGTTGGCTCATCCCCACCAGCGACGGGGCTCGTGGGGTGCAGCATGGAAAAGGATGCGTCGGACAGCGTGGCCGCCGATAGCGGCGGTGGCAGCGCTGCCCGTTGACGGCGGTCACGCAACGCGGATCGCTCGGGTTGGGTTGGCGTGGTAGGTCGTAGCGAATGCGGACGGACCGTGGTCGCGCTCGTCGAATGATTCATACTATTACTACTATTCATACTACTGCTATTGCGCCCACTTCTGTTGTTGCTGCTGTGGCTTCTGTCGTCAGCCGCGCTGGGGTGTTCTTGAGGTCTGTGTAGTGCGTCCACAACCGCACACTCTGCCTGGCGAACACTACCGAGCTGATCTTGCTGCACTGGTTGCGCTTCACCTGCTGGCAGTGCACCTGCAGCTGCCGTCGCTGCCGTACCCACGCAATCGTGCCGGCTGCTCTCCTCCTCGTCCTCTTCCTCCTCCGCTGCTGCGTGTCTGTCGCTGACGAACATCGACGTCTTCGACAGTTTCATCGGGCTCCGTACGGTCACCACCGGCGAGGCGGAGGCGCTCCTCCCGCCGCCATCACCACCGCTGCTACTCGTGCTGCGGCCACTACCACTCGCGCTGCTACTTCTGTGACGGCGGTGGCGGTCCGTCTGCACAATGAGCCGACAAAGCATCGCTCGCATGCCCCGACCGCGCGGTTGGGGGTGGCAGCGGACCACAACCGCGGGTGCCACCACAGCTGCGTTTGCTGTTGAAGGGCTACGCGCTGTGCTTGATGACGCTCGCTTGCCAGGGGACACTTTACGAGTGGCCTTCACAGCACCGGCAGCAGCAGCAGCAGCAGCAGCCACCGTCGGTGAAGAGAACAACGATGCAGATGACGGACGCAGAGATGCGTTGCGCTGCGGAGATGAAGGTTTGTGCTGCACTTGCTCTACCGCCGTCTCAGCATCACCGGCGGCGTCACCACCCGTGGTGCCTCGAGGCGTGAGTTCGTTGCGGAGGGCCGTGACGGCTGCTGCTCTGGCCGATGCAATCGTCGTCGTCGTCGCCGTCACCGCTGCAGGACTGCGCCGCAGCAGAATCGGTGCCGTGCGCAGACACTGAGGCGATTGGGTGGCGTAGGTGGCGGAGGGAGCGGCGAGCGGGGGAGCCGCCGCAGCGGTGGAAAGAAGAGATGCGAAGGAAGATACGGCCGACGTCGGTGCTGCTGCCGCTGCCGCTGTTGTTGTTATCTGCTGCACGCGTAGGACAGAAGATGAAGTGCGGTGGCGGCTTCGATCGGCTGTGCGTGACGCGGTGCCGTCCATGAAAGGCACCGCCGCCTCTTTCCTGTCCGCCGTGGCGGCGGCAGAGACGGGAGCGCTGTGCAACGGTGAGGCCGAGGCACCGCTAAGACGTCCCGCCCCCGTCGTCTTCACGACGACGGAGGTTGGCCAGCGTGCGTCATTACCACGACCACTCCGCGTAGGTGCCGGCTGCGACTTGCTGTTCTGCAGTGCCTCGTACAGGCGGCGGGAGGAGACGGTGGTAGAGACGGTGGAGGCGCCGTGTGGCGTGTCCGCAGTGGATCTCGGTGCGTCGGGCACACTGCTTTTGCGCTCTGACACGACAGCGGACGCCGCTGTTGATGCCGCGGTGGTGGCGGCGCCGTTTGCGTTCTCGGACCGCGTTTTGCGGAGCGAAGCACGGGCGGATAGAGTTATCCTAGTCGCTGCCGGCGTTGCTGCTGATGGGGCAAAGGCCGCCGCAGAAGGATGGTGGTGCGCGGGTGACGAGGCGATGGACGAGTACGAGCGGCGGGTAAGCGCTGACTGCGGCGAGAGTGTATAGAAAAATGAGGACGACAGCGGCGTCAGCATCGGTGACTGCTTGATCGGCGGCGGTGGCAGTGGTGGCCATCGTTGTTGGTGCTGCGGCCGCTGGTGTTGGTGTCGCGGCGACACTGATGAGTCCCACACAACAGGTCCATTACGTGGGACCGCCGTGAGTGCGTTGTGGCCTGACGCGTGTCGAGCTCGCGTGGACAGCGATGACGCAGGAGTGGCCGCCGCGGTAGATGTTGGGGTCCGCAACGCGACGGCGGAGTATGGATGAAGGGGCGACCTCTTTACGGGACTGCGGATGCTGTTGCTGCTGATGTTACTGCTGCTGCCACGTCTCAACGCTTTGGCGGCTGTGCCCGTCGCCACCCTCGACCCCCTCCCTTCCTTCTCGGTGCTCGTTGCCGTCTCTTTCAGCTGCGAGGTGCGATCGGCGGGAGCGACGCCAGCAGCGACAGCCGCACCGCTGCCCGTTGCATCCTTCTCCTCGGGCTCCCGTGGAGTCGTCGTCGGCGTGGTGGCGGTAGCGGGCGTGCGAGCCGGCTCGCCGTCTCCCCTGCCCACCTCCCTTACCGATCCCGTATCCGCTGACTTTTCCGGCAATTTAGTGGAGGGGGCAGGCGTCCCGCTCTGTGCGGGGTTTGACGGCGCACCCGGCAGTGCCGCAGAGGACGGCGCCACGGGCAGACCACTCGACCACGCACGTAAACTCTCTTCACCGTCGCCATCGCCGTCTGTCGTTGTCTCTATTTCTGTGAGCGCCGTAGCTGAGGCGCCTGCGTTTGCCGCGGTGCACGGCAGCCCTGGTGGGCGTGCAGACAGGTGACTGGCCATGACAACGGAGTGCGGCAGCATACTCGTCAGCGAAAAGCTAGAGGCGATCCCGGTGGGTGAGAATAGAAGGGCCGCGTTGCTCGGGTGCGGGTTTGCACGCCCAGCAGCGACGACGCCACCCAGCGCTGCCGCTGCGGCAGTGGTGGTGTTGGTGATGGCGTTGGCGTTGATCGTGGTGGAGGATGACTCGTTGAGTGAGAAGGTCGATGGGGAGGCGCGTGCGGAGTCCCAGGGTAAGAAGAAGCACGGCAGCATGATGCAGCCGCCCGCGCGGGCGGCTGCAGCGCCGCCACGTGCGGAGCTGGAGATGAGCGAGGTGGCCACGACGGGTTCGATCTGTCCGCCCTCCTCCTTGCCACTGTCGAACTGCACCGTTCCTGCCATTGTTTTTCCCTCTTCTCCCTCCGCTTCTTTCTGCATTAACGCGGTTGCTGCTGCTGGTTTCGAGTATTCATGTCCTTCAGCATTCACACTTGCTGATGTTTCGAGTTGCCGCTGCTGCAGCTCGTTGGCGTGAGGCGGGGAGCTCCGATTTCTTCGCTGCAGTGCTGAACCGTCTTCGTCGCTCCGACCCGCGTGGTGATGACCGCCGCCGCCGCTGTTGTTGACGCTACTGCTGCTATTGCAGCTGTTCGTAGTTGTCGAGTGGCGATTGCCGGCGAGACACCGGCGTGGCACCGACGGCGGAGACAGCAATACGAACGGCCGCGAAGTCGACTCCGCTTCTTCGTCGTCTTCATCTTCCTCATCGTCATCTTCGCCATCGTCATCTTCGCCTTCTTCATCGGCAGCGCCACTGCTGCTGCTGCTGCTGCGGCGGCGGCGGTGGTGGTGATGCGCGATCATCATCTGCTTCACGTAGTCATGCAGGGCGTAAAGCTTGCGCAGGTGACTCTGCACGCGGCGCTGCGAGCGGTGAGAGTCGTCGCCGAGCTCTCCGACGCGCTGCTCCATCTTCTGCATCCGATCATCGAGCAGCGACTGGCTGTGACCGAGAGAAAGGACCTGCTGGAAGAGCTCCCCGACGGCCTTGCACTGGTCCATGCTCGCGGCGAAGCTGGCGATGCGGTGGGCGGCGGTCGGCGTTGGCGGGGAGGGCGACCGACGCTCTGTTGGAGCCTGCTGCTGCTGCAGCAGCAGCAATGGTCCGCCGTCACTCCCGCCGCGTCCGAGGCTGTTACTGCTGCTGCTGCTGCTGCTGCTGCTGCACAACCGCCGAAACTCGTCCACCAAACTGCCGCCTTCGTTAAACGGCCGGGTGGGCCGCACCTCCGGCAAGGGGAAGGTGGTGTGTGTGGTGCATGGCGAGACCGTCGTGGGTGTTATACCTCCTTTGCCGAACACCTCCTCGTCCGTTGGCATGTCCGCGACACGGGGTGGGCGCTGATCAAAGGACGTCTGCTCACGTGCGCGTGTTAGACGGGCCACACCGTTGCTGTTCTCGCTGCTGTCCGACGGCCCATCCTGCGATGATGCGAATAGCGTCTCGCTGCTCGGGCGCTGCTTCGGTGGTGGGAGGCGCAGCACACCCGCACCGCTCGTCTTGCTCAACGACGTCGAGCTGTTGTGGTTGTTGCTCTTAAAGTTCGAGGTGCTACTTTGCTGCGACCCGGCTGCTGAGGTGTCGGTCAGGTGTGTGGTGGAGCTCGCCGACATAGTCAAGAGCGACGAGTTCCGCTTCAGCGCCGGCGGCGTGACGGAGAGCGGGTCGTCGCTTCGGAAGTTCGCCAAACCTAAAGCACCAACCGCGGCGGCTTTGGTGGTGGAGGTGGAGGGTGAAGTGCATATTCCCATGGCTGGTGGAGACGGCATCGTTGTTGGTGCCCTCGCAGACGGGCGACGGACGTTGGAGCCGTCCTGCGCAGCGGCCGCCTCCTTCTCACCCCGCATGGAGTGCGTTGGGCTGACGACGGTGACAAAGGACGACTGCCGCTGACGGCCCGCAACCACACGCGACGACACCTGCTGCGGCTGCTGCTGTTGCTGCTGTGCCGCGTCACCACTCATGCTAGCGCTACAAAAACTGCCATTCCGGTGCGGATGCGGAGGAGCGGGGGCTGCGGCTAGGTGGGCTGTCGCCATGCTGTTGTTGCTGTGGTTATTGACGCTGTTGCCGTAGCCCACGCTGTTCAGGCTCATCGAACCGTTGCCCGGCGTGTTTAAGATACCACCGCCGGCGCTGACGTCTTTCCATGCTGGGTTCGCATCCAACGCGGATGCTGCTGCTGCTTGGCGGCCACCTCCTTGGGGCAGAGGCCCTGCAGCGGCAGGAGCTCTCCGAGGGGGAGCGCTGCGCGATCCCCTCGACGGCGGTGGGGGTAACGGTGACAGCTTGTTGTCCTTCCGCTTCTCCGGCGTGCGGGTGGACAGTTGCGCCGTCGACGACGTGTCCGAGGCAGGCAACCACGTCCTTCCCTGCCCTCGTATCTTCTCCTCACTCGACCACAGCCCACCGTCCACAGCATGCAATGCATCGCCGATGGCGTTATTGTTGCTGTCACCACTGCGTCGCGCCTGCGCGTCGCGCTGCTGCTTCTCTTCCAAAAGAGAATTTACCTGCTTCAGAAGCACGCCTTGCTGCGCTTCAAGAAGTTGGATGCGCCGCTCCAACGCAGCAGTGGCATCGTGTTCTGCCACGTGGTCCACGATGGTGGCGGCGGTGGTACCTGCGCGGGAGGACGTGGGCAGCGTGACTTGCGGCTCCACACCACGTGGGAGGCTGGTAGAGTTCGCCATCGCCAAAACCGCTGCTGCTGCTGCTGCCGCGGTGGGTTTGACGTCGGCGGGTTCATTCAACGAAGGGCGTCCGGCGGCGCTGTCCTCGCGTGCCCTGTGGAGAATTTCTGATGTTGCCGTGGTGGTGCCGTCGACAGCAGCGGTTGACGCCGCTTGCGTCGCGCTACACCGCGGTGGCATGCCCGCCATTCCAAAACCCAAAAAACCCAGAAAACAATGAAGAACGCCTTCTCAGCAAATAACACATACAACAGAGAACTCGAGCCCAGGATGACACCGAAGGAGTCCAGCAACGGCCGCAGCACGTACTGTTAATAACACAAGGAATACTGAAGTGCGGCTTTTCTGTAATACTACTGTGGTGCGAGCACCGTAAATTCACGCGTTTCGAGTCTTTCGTCGTTTCCCCCAACCTTACCCGCACACGTCGCGAACAGCGTTGCGTGAGAGACGATGCGCGGTCTCCGCGAAGGGAAGAAAGGAGAGCCGGACAACAACCAAATAGCGAAAAGGAAGAAGACGCAAAGGAGGTGCTGATACGAGATTCCGAGCACTGGAAAAAAAAAAGGCTCCGAGAGCAACGAAGAAGACAGATATGAAAATAAGAGGTGATTCGTTAGAGTCAATATAGACAGAATTCAATGCAACAAGGAGTATATTTATAAAGCAGAGTGACAGGCTAGGGCGGGGAGGGGGGAACAACCACCACCGCACCAAAACGGAGAGGAAGGATTCAACTGAACAGGAGCAGCGCGACGGAGTCCAGCAACAACAAGAGCGAATGAGAAACCGAGAAAGGAAAAAAAAGAAGAAAAAGGTCGAATGCGGCTTTCGTATCCGAGAAAACCAAAAGTAGTATATATATATATATATATATACACTTAATATATATAGGATCACTTTAGATGATGTCCGTTGCTCTTCAGCAGAAGGACAGCAGAACAAGAAAGAACACAGAAGAGGAAATTTGTAATCAAGAAAAGATCGAGATGAAAGTAAAGCAAAAGAGAAGAGAAAGAAGAAAAAACTGCCGTGAGTTCTACACGCCGTAGGTGATTCTTTTTTTGGTTTCGATAATAATATGGTGGAAGCAAAACAAAGAAAAGGAAAGAAATGAAAGAACAGCGGGAGAGAGCTGTGCGCACGCACCATCAAAGTACGCCACACAGACAGACAAGCAAGAGGAATCCAAACACACACCCACACATACACAACAGGAAAGAAATTCGCGAATACGAAAATATAACAAACAAACTAAACAAATAAAGAAATAAATACATATATATATATATATATATATACGTATTCTTGTTGCAGCGCTCGCAATGATCAAACCCTGACGCTGTTGTGTAAGTCAGTCCGGGCTGCACGCGTGTGTATGTACGGTGAGGCGAGCCCGTCGAGTCCGTCGCAACACGGCCGGCCGACGTCTTTCTTCCTTCCTTTCTCCACAGGAAAATAAGATAATACAAACAAACGAATGAATAACACCACCAACAGCGAGGTAAGAAGGAAAAAAAAAATCGAAGCGGCGGAGAATAATCAAAGGAAAGAAAGAAGAGACGTTCTTGCTCGACTTCACTTGCTAGTCGCCACTGAAATGAAGAAGTAGCAAACAACACCCCCTCAAAAACACACACGTAAGCAAAAGAAAGTCTAACGGTGATCGAGGCGTATCACCACGAAATGGGGGAAAAAATAATAAAAAGAAATAAGAGGAGGATAACGCGGGGGGAGAAGAAGAGGAGAACAAGAAGAGGTGGTGAGCCAATTCGAAAGCGAACCTTTCCCCTTTCCCCTCACCACCACAAAATATGAAAAAGAACAAAGAAGAAAAATTACTTTAACTTTTCCTCCACCTTTTTTTTTAAACTACTGTTCTTTAACGACTCGTAAGACACAAAAAGCCTCGGCTTCAAAACTCCGGAGAGGTGAACAAAGGCGAATAATAATAATAATAATGAACAAGAGAAGGAGAGGAGAATTCGCGCAGAAGAGATGAGAAGACCGAGGGAAGAGAAACGATATTTGTTTTCTTGTTTTTTTTTTGTTCTTTGGGGGGTGTAAAAGGCCGAAGGAGGAACACACAGAGGAAAGGAAAAAAGAAATATATAACAATAAATAATAAGAAGAAATGAAGCAGCTAACAGAGCCACAACAGCCAGGGGATTTAGAATTCCCCGGTAGACGGTAATCACGAAGGAGACGAATAGGGTCGAAAAACCTACTTTGGTATTTCAACCCTTTCTCTTCTTTCTCCTCCTCTTACTTCGAGTTTGTGCGTCGATGAGTTATGGAAGCGGCACAAAGAAGAAGTAGAAGAAGAAACGTGGAGAGAGACAAGTGATAGAAGAAGAAGAAGAAAAAGATAAAGACAGAAGGCGTGTCGTTAATACGAGCTTGTAGAAGACACACAACCAGAAAACAACAGCTTGTCAATGGAGAGAACTTGAAAAAAAAAAAGGGAAAGAGTCCTACTTGCAGCTTGTTGGCGTGGTGCGCTGCATTACAAGGGGACAAAATCAAAACAACCAAAACAGCGAAAAAAAAAACACCAAGAGTAGTCACAAAACTCAATGAGCTCAAGGCGGAGTAGCGCACGTGGATGCGTTGCGCGAGGGATGTGAATTACGTGGCGCCGGCTGCCGCTGAGTTCGCCCGGATTAATGGGTGTATGTCAGCGAGCTGGCGACTGACCGAGTGAAGAAAAGAAGAAGGATAATAATAAATATTAAAGAAAAATAGAAGCAGAAATACCAAAGCAACAACACTGAAAACAGAACGGCAAGCACCACCAAGAATAATAAGACAACAGAAAGCAGTGGCCCTACACCACCCTCTCTTTTCCTCCTTCACTTTTTGCTGTGTATGCAAACGAATAGGAGAGAGAGACAGAGAGAGAGAGAGAAAGTAGAAGAAGCAGGTGCTTGTCGAACAACAACAATACTATTGGTAAAAATAAAATAATAATAATAAAACTGAAGCGAACGAGAACACACGCGCACACGTAGCTGTCCGCGTCGACGCGCTTACTACAAAGCAACAACCAAAAGCAAGGAAGAAAATAAGAAAAATGTATGAAAAGCCACGAGCAGCCGCCAAACAAAAAAACGAAAAGAGAAGAAACCGAACAAGGAAAGGAAAGGATGGGATAGGGAGGAATCGAGAGAATTAAATCAAAGAGAAATAACACGCGAAAGACACGAGTAAGAATGCTCACACGAGGAAGAGGCGCTAAAGCAAAAAGAAAAAAGGGGGAAGAAGAACACCCGAAAGGAAAGTGCAGCAGCGAAGAAGGGCGTCCTCCGCTTTGAAACTCGCTTTAAAAAAAATAAAGAAAAAAACCCGCAACACCACCACCGCCCCGAAGAACACCAACAAAGGAAGAGGTCGAAAGAAGAAAGACGAAGGAAAGAATGAAAACGGAGACTATGCCGTTCCGCACAACCGTGAAATGCCACCGTGCGGTAAACAAACAGATAAATAAATAAATAAATATATATAAATATAAATATATATATATAACAAGGAAGACACTATCTATCCATCTATATATATATATTCTATGCGCCAGCTATGGACGATTGTAAAAAGCGGCGGCAACGCGCGTGCTAACAAAACTCGCAACAGCTTCCGTGTGTATACCCCGTGAAGTGATCTGGCTGGTCGAGATCGTAGCACACCAGCGTGACAGGCAACCGTTGACGTAGTGAAATAAACAAGAAAACACCAACAACAGCAAAAAAAAATATGAGCGTCTTCAAGTTGGGGAAGAAAAAAGAAAAAAAGTATTAAAAATCTGCAGAAACCTACAGAAGCAGATCAGCCATAGAGACGTCGGATTATCCCGCTCACACACACACACACACACACACACACACCATTCAGCAGTATGGGGGAGGAGGAGGGGGTAATTAAGTGGGGGAGGGAGGGGGGGGGGAGGGAAACCCGCAAAGAACGCCGTGGCGCAAAGCGAGAAGGGCACCACCAACAAAAAGGGTATAGTGCGCGCGTGTGTGCGTTTGCAAGAAAGAGAGAGCAAAGCGAAGAAAGTAATATATATATAACGGGCCAGCGAAAGAAGTAATAAATAGTATTAGAAGAAGGTGAGGTGAGACACACTGGGCGAAGAAGCGAAGGTGGTAGCGGTCACGAGTGACGGGGAGAGAGAGAAATAGAGAAGGGAAGGAAAAGTAAAGTAATACAAAAATGAAATAAAAAGAAAACACACAAAGGGAAATGAAAGTTGTCAAAACAACAACAACAGAGAAGAAAACAAATGCGAAGCGAAAAGGCGTTCCGCGCGAAACGCCCGACGTGGTATTACTATTAAAAGAAAGACAGAGAATGCGACGAGGGCCGTGTATAAGGAGAAAAGAGAGAAGAAGAGAAAGATGAAAGGGAGAAAACAAAAAGAATAGCAGAACTTTTCTCTTATCTCCACGTTAGCTGCTTGGCGAGAGAATTAATTATGCTCCTCTCCACTGTGCTTTTGTTTTTTTTTTTGATATATCCTCTTCTTTTCGCTTTTTCTCTGAGTGTGTATGTGTCCTTTGTTCCTCTCGTTGCGTCTCGGCCGGTGGTGTCTCCTGTGTCGGCGGTGCTGATTTTATGGAGAGAGGGAAGGAAGAGAAGGGGGGAGGGGGGAGAGGAAGCGGGCAAATAGTAATAATGTTCGTAGTATGCCGGCGGATGTGTGCGTGTTTGTGCGTGTGCGCCGTCGCCCTCGTAAGGAAAGGATTTCGATTTCTTTTTAGAAGTTCCTTTGTGGTGTGCGTATGCGTTCGTTAAACAAGGAAATATATATACTGTCACCTAACTAAGAGAGAGAGAGAGAGGGTGGAGGAGAAGGATTTGTTCTACTTTCTGGGGCCCCTGCTTCGCATGCTCCCTCAGAGTACAACATATCGGTCATTACTTGCATTATTCATAGTCAGTGGCGAGACCAGCTACCCCATAGTCTCCAACGGTCTTGTGCACAACAGGGCAAGCCGTATTGACCAAGCGGGGCAACTCCATGCCAGGCGCATCTCTCGCCACCACACGACCATCCACCACCTCTTCCCCAAAGTTACGTGAGAGGGAATCTGCGGGGTTCATCTCACCAACGATGTAAAAGAACACCACTCGCACGCCCGTCTCGAAGAAAAGAGAATTGGTGTAGGCGTACAGGTTGTTTAGGTACTGCCCACGTCCAATACCGCGAAAGCCACTTTCACATCTTTGCGCCAATGCAATCGGGTAGTGATCCGTCACTACAGCGACGCGTCTTAAAGCTTACGGGTACGCCGCGAGAATGTACCGTAAGAACAACAAAGCGGCATGTGGTTCCGCGTTTGCTGAATGCCGTGCGTTGAAAGGGATGCGCGCGCCCCTCGCATCCACTGCGCCGCTCGCACTGAGGTCGTGGCTCCAGCGCTGCTGAAAACCGCGCGTCGTGCCGTCTCTCCAGCGGGCGATAGCACCCCAGCCCGACGCCGATGCGTCTGTGAACACGATCAGGTCGTAGTCCGCGTCGAGGTAGGTGGCTCCTATGGGTTCTGCAATGGGCCAGAAACAGTTCTCTACCAAGACGGGCACGATGCGGTCCAACGCGGATCGGATGGAGCCGCTGACAAACGGTATCAGTGCATCCCAACTC